AAGGACTGGTGTTTTGTTTTCATGAATAAATATTGTTAATCTACGTTTGAAATGCGGGCAAATTTGAATAGCCTATAGACAATTATATTGAATTGAATCGATGATTGTTTGCAATTAAAGCTTATGCTTCAGTCCAGCGAGTAGAATTTGTAATTACAAGCATCAAGATCAAACTAGGTCTGTGTCTTAGCAATATTTTAGTAACAATCCTATACGTGTAGACATATCAACATACGGCGCCGAGAGGACGAGGTAACTGGGACAAGTGCCCTGGGACCCTGGGACCGGCAGGGGCCCGGGATAACTAGGTAACAAATAATAAAATAAAATAAATACAAATTTTTAAACATATACATTCATCCAGTATCATTCACTTGTATTTTAATCACGAGAATTGTGAATATAAAGCTGACTTTTCATGAATATTTTCGTGACTTCTAGTTTTACAATAAAATAAAATAAAATTATTAAACGTTTGCAATCATCCAGTATAATGCATGTGTTTTCCCCACAAGAATTGTAAACAAAGCTGACCGTTTATTGATGAAAGCTGGTAATGAATCGCTTCTAATTCTTTTTCATAAAAATTTTCTACTTCTAAAAAAAACTTCTACTACTCCAGAGTTTATGTTTACAATGTATCTAATAGTAAATTATTTTCATTACAATAATTATAAAAGGCTTGGACCTGGACATCGTCAATATACATACAAGTTAGAAAATACGAGTAGACCTGATAGAGATTCGATTGTCAAATGAATACTGAATTAATATATTAAACTAGTGGCGGATTTAAAGGGAAGCCCGGCCTCCTTTTAAAAATTTAGGACAAATTGAGAAAAAAAGAAAATTCTACTCCAATTTAAGTCTAAGAGTGCCATTTCCGGACGTCCAGAGGTGACATAATCATAACTTTTCTTACCTCAGCCCAAACCATGGTAGGACTGAGGTAGATAGACTGTCCATCTGTGAAAGCCCTTCTCTGGGCTACCTCTAACACGTTTGAATAAAAGAAAGTATAGCTTTGATACTGTTCATGTTTCTATACTTATTAGGCCTAATTCATAACTTGGTGAAATTAAACACTCTATAATTGATTAAATTAGTCCTCTAATCTTTCAAAAGGCCGTAGCTTCCGGGGGTGGGGAATCTACCAGGGATCTTCCCTTCGATCCTACTGGGCCCTAAGCGGCCCCAGACCCCCAACCTATGTAACCGGGCAGCGAATATGCCCCGGGGTTCGTGGCCGCTCTCTGTGGCCCTGTCCATAGGCCTATATAATATGTGTGTGGACATTACAAAAAGGTGCTTTCGATTATGTGACGACGCGACGCTAGAACGGAATCACTCATGCGTGACCGTCCTACCTGGCGTCCTACGTTCGCTCTTCGCTGCATACGTAGATTTGGCCAAATTGCGTTCCAGAATCTACTCGACGAGGATACCTTAACGTTCTCGCATGCGCAGATGACTGTTAGTGACGTCATTACGTTCTACGTCCTACCGTCGTCGTGCAATCGAAAGTTCCCTAGTAATCGACTACACGCCTAACAGAAATATGTTAGCAGCCGAATTGAAAGAAACCAACACCTGGTGCGTATGAACCCTTTACGTCCCATGAACCAAAGACTTTTGAAACAGTCCTACTAAGATCGCAACGCACCTTCACATTGCTACACAAAATTATGTTGGTTTCGTCATTACAACTCTTTTGGTATCGTCCAATTCAATTAAACTTTAATTTTTTTTATTTTATATTTATGTACACAAAAAACGAACAACAAACCAAGTAGGCCTACAACTTAAACTGTGTACAACATAACCTAGTAGTAAATACCACCATATTTCGCCTCTATATTCCATCGAAGACCCATAACTTGAAATGGGCCTATTCAGTAACTACCTGTTGAAAGTATGTATAACATTTAAATACTCTTCTAACAATCCTTACCTTCGCTTTTTTATTAGCAGATTTTATTCTTCGAGACATTTTAGATAAACCACTCGTTAGGCCCAGTATTGAAGTTCAGTCGACTTAATGAAAAACCTTAATACATCTGCGCCATTACGTTAACATAAAGCAGCTAATTCGCCAAAACGTATGCACGTTCGTGGTCCAGAAGAGTGGTCCAAGATGTGAACCAATTTAGAAACCACAATTTTAACCTGTCTGAGAAAATATCCTTGCATAATCAAGCAATTATCTGATTTGTCAAAAGCATTATTCGGTAAAATTGTCTTACATAAAAGTGAATTTTCTTGCGATGCACTTGGTGTATGCTGTGATTTTCACGCTTGTTAACATCGTCTGAGTGCCTGTTGGTGCGTTAGTAATTCTTGTTTTTACAAGTAAAGAGAATACCACCAGTTGATGATGTCAAAGTCAATTTACCGAACGATGAAGCCAAAATTCAAGTGAAGTTTCGTAATTCACTAGCATAGGCCTACAATCTATACCTTATACCTCAGTTTAAGTCTATTCAGATATGTATTTTGTCACTGTATACGGTATTAATAGGCTTATGATATGTTTTTGCCATGGCATAACAATATAGTGAGATTCGGCGATAAAAATGTATTTTGTCTGGGTCGCGGTTGAGTGCCAAAAAGTTGGATTTGAGTCGTGGGCTGAAAAGGTTGCGGAACGTACTCTTAGAATATTAACACTAAAGCAAGTGTTGTTTGAAATACCCGAAGAATCTGATTATTTTCATTATATTCAATACCTCCATTCTCAAAGAATAATAAATATGATCATTGCCTAAAAGTGCAAGCGTTCCGTTTAGAATCAGAACAAAGACATTCAATGAAGCAACGCACACAGATATTATGACGAGTCGAGTAAATTACAATTATGCCTAACAAAATATTTCATGCCAAAGGAAAAAAGTACCACACACACACGTACCTGCGCACACAACTTTAAAGATAAGTACCGTTTTAATATTTCTTTTCCAGGCCTACATGACAACAGAATGAGCGAACAATACAAGGACCACGAACAGTGAGTATCTTCAATGTCTTTGTTTATTCTTTAGATATCTTCAGATTTCTCCTACTCTACATTTATCTCTACGTACCTCTATCACTACTGTGTTTCCTTTCTCATTCGGTGATGGCGCCGGATTGGAGTGAGTGGGGATCCCTCCCTACTGTAGGAAAAGATAGATTTCGTTGGGGAATAAACTTTAAAAGAAATCAAAATCAAATGATAAAAACGTTTCTGCCAGGTTCAACCTTCCCGACAACTGTCGCCGATAGGGTGAGCAATTGTATGGAAACCGAGCTTTATGGCCTAGACCTATATTTATAGGCATAATTCTAATTCGTAATTTTGTTCGTAAAGCTGTCCAGCCTAGCAAATTTGATTGAAAGGTGATTGTGAAAGAAAATTTGATAATCTGGACAAACTTTAAGGATGTTGCTTTACACATTAGCGACAGTGTGGCGATTTTATGGCTTTACGGTAGCTTGATGAAGCATGTCCGAACTTATAAGCTAATTCTCTAAACTTCGTCAAAGATGTGAAGCATAGGCTATAGGGGCTTCGCTCTCCGGACCAAACCGGGGCCTAGCCGAAAATCCTGCTACATTTGCATAGCCCATCTCTTCTGGCCTTCAGCCAAATCCTTAAATTTCTGCCACTATCACTGATCTCTCCCACCGTCCATTCACGTAAAGATCGATTGATCAAACCACTTTATCTAACTATCGGATTTTAATCAAAGTCCTAAATGTAGCGATGACATTGAGTTACACACACTTAGACGTCTAACGTCCAGGGTAGTGAAGCCGGTGCTTGAGACAGATCCGTCTTTAGAGGAAATCTTCCTTCGGGCTGCAGAGAAAGGCGATCTAGAAGCGGTCAATTATGCGTTACTGCACAAAGACTCATTCGACATCAAATGTCTAGACAAGAACGGTGACAGTGCCTTGCAATTGGCAATTAGGAATTCAAATGCAGGTAATAATGAGTCACTTTACTTAATAGGTAGGGGATACAATTATGTAATAACAGACGATGAAATAAAAAGTTTGAGGAATTGTACGCAACCCTTTTTACCATGTCTTTTAGAATTGTAGGCCCATTGCCACATGCCCCGTCGCCACCCGACCTTTTTCAACTAGGCTATTTGTACCTATCCGGCTAGTTGACACATCACCCTGACACAAAAGGGCTTTGTTGATACATAACAACATAATATGTCGCTGACATCGACTGTAGAATATCACATTAGGCCTTTCTTTATCCGAGTGCCGGATAAAAAGAAAACGGGCATATCACAAAATTGGTGGCTGCCCAAAAATATTCCCAGTCTCAAAATTCCACAGGAACCCCAGTCCCATCGTTACGCCGCTGGCCTCTTACCACATTAAGCCCCTTTACCCAAATTGGTATTGAAATAATAAATGTATGAAGTATTTTAAAATGCATGTACCTGTAGGCCTACACATAGAGTACTAGTCATGAATGGAGAGCGACAATCATAATAAAATATGATAAAAGTTCTAATGATAATATTAACTATAATACTTATAACATTAATAATAATGGGATTTGTTATTAGGCCTATTATAATAATAATCACCATTATAATTATCACCAAATAATGTTGATTTCAATTAATTGAACTTTATGACAATTATAATTCATTATTCATGTTATTTCAACATTATTTCAGACTTAAATCCACAGAAATGCAATCGACCTATATATCTATAATGACGTTAGTTTTTGCTAAACAGGAAACAAAATGTACTTTGTGACACAATTTCTTTAACATACTGACTCTGATAAAATTCAGTTCATATTCAAATTTGGATCAAACAAAAATAGCGGATATACTGCCATGCACGAATCAGCAAAAATATTATTATTTGAGTGGTTCCATAGCTAATATACGGTACGGTACACAATATAACATTAACATAAATTGCCTAATACTGTACGTAAAATGGACCTTAGTATTTATGATATAAGGACAGGGGTGGCGCCAGCGGGGGGGGGGGGCAGGGCCCCCGTCGGGGAGAGCTGCCCCCCCCCACCCCGTCAGGGAGAAAAGCATAATTCGTCGGGGAGAAAATAAGTTATATGTATTTTCTACATATTAGTAGACTCTAAACCCCTAAATTGAAACCCCTAAATTGTCCAAATTTTCGGGGGTTCCGCCCCCTGGTCCACGTTCGAAGCCCAATCGAAGCTCAACCACACCCACTTTGCTTTCGTCAGGGAAATCTGACCCCTCATCGGGCAAATCCTGGCGCCACCCCTATATTAGGATAACTATTTATCGAGAATAACACTGGTAAAAAAAAAATAAATTTGCATTTCTAAGCACAATAATTCCAAACAATTAATCTTACAATGTGTAATGCATCATTTTGGCTACATCTCCACGTCAGGTAGGGCAAAATTACACCTATACATGTTTCTCCTGACGCGAATCCAGTTATTGTCTATTATTCCATCACGACAATAACAATTACTATCTACATCAAAATCGTTATATATTTGGAACCAAACATTATGATAAAATATTATAGTATTAATATGTACTTCACCAACGAAAGCAAAGTAACCACACGTTTTATGTCTGTATCACAGTACTTTTTTATCTACTTATTCTCTAACAAAAATAGAGGTTGTTAAGGTGATGTTAGAGGGCGGTATACATCCAGGCGATTCACTATTGAGGGCGGTTGATAGGCAGAATCTAAAGATAGTAGACATTATTCTTAACTTCGCAAATTCACCTAAGGTAAATGCGCTTTTCTTGTTTAAGACTATATACTGAACATTAGTTCCGAAATATTCATCTATGACAATAAAGAAGAAATTAAAAGTAAATTAATATTGTATTACTTTGAATATATTTTACAGGGACGAGAACATGATATTATCAACTCCGGTACTGATTCGGATGATTTTCATCCAGTTGTTACACCTCTTATGCTAGCAGCACAGAACAATAATCACGACATTATCAGAGTAAGCAATGCATTTGTTATGGACCTACGTCAATGAAATTACGTATCAACCACACGGTCAGTACGAGTACCGTAAAACCTCAAATTGAAGCCCAATGGGCTTATAATCGAACTCGAAGCCCTCTCTTAGAGTTTGCAAAATTAGCCTGGAAAAAAGCCCATAAGCTTCTTTCGATATAGTCCAGTACATACACTGTATATGAATTTCTAAAAACAAAATCAATTAAAATCATGATTGGTTTATACAGTAGTATTAGGTAATTTAGTGCCGTTTAAAACACCTCATGGCACTGATTGGCGATAACAGTGGAATTACTTATGTTTTATAGTAAAAATTCCCAAAAAATTACAAGAATCCCCCTCTTTACTTCGCAAAAGTACTTTCGAAAAGAAGCCCATCCAAAGCTCGCAACAAAAACAAAAGAAGCCCAGGGCTTCAATATTCGAGGTTTTACATGTGCGCAACCAATCACATGATAGAAAGGCAAAGATGCAGACTATGCGCTGAAGTCAATCATTATGTTTTCATTTCCAGTACACATATACATTATTTAGCATTATCACCTTTGTCTGGTTGATTAATAATCGATAAGCTACAAGGAATATTGTAATGTGATAGTTAAGTAGTCAAAGGTAAGCTTACTGACCTCTTTGATTTGTAGTTAGATACAAATTTAATCTGACAGGAAATCATCGTAGGTAACTCTCCAATATTGAACTTGATGTCTGTACCAGACTCGTTGAAAGACGAAAGAGCGACATTCTGCCATATGCCAGTTTTTCTGCTCATGCATATTCATGTTTGTGTCATACTAATTTCTTGAAATGACAGATGGTAATTGAAATTCAAATGTACAATATAATGTTTGCTGTTTGCTTCCAGATAAATACTATTTTCGTTAATAACCCCCGATTTAGGCTCTCTCGTGTTGGTTTAAATTATTAGGAAGGCTACCAGATCAATTTTACTAGGGGATTCCTATCCAAACACAGTAGCAATAAATGTCATAATGTTTATATCTGTCATTATAATAGTGGAAAACGATCTTCAAGCGACCACATAAAGCTTCTGCAATATAGGCCTACGCCTATTATACATATCAATATAATATTACCTGCAACACTTATAGCATGCGGACACAATGACCAGGGGAAAGAAGTGCGCTTTAAAGCCCCAAGGAAGAGGCGCATTATAAATGCCAGTACCAGTAAATTTGTTTACTTCATACTTAGGCCTATATTTCACTATATACCGTATATATA